GTGTTTGCCTTTAAACTGCACAGCAGCAGTTTTGTAACATTGCTTTTATTTGCTTGATGGCAAAGTAAACATTTTTCAATGCCAAAAGAAGCTTGTACTTTTTATTTGGTAACTTTTTGAAGGATATATACTGTATTAACTGTATGTTAAAATAAACTCCATATTACATTGTGTCATAAAGCCTGTATCTGCAATTTAATGTAGACTGTCCCCTTGTTCTGCTTCAGAGTAATAATATAAATGTAAAAAGAACAGCTTTAGATTTACTTTTTGTGAAATTTGCAACAAATGAAGTTGTTACAAGATAACATTGAAGCTGTTTTATACCAGTGCCTATAAATGCAATATTCCAAAATTACAATGAATCAAACAAACAAAAAAAAAACCATTGCTATATCTGTACAGCCTCCTTTAAACTGTTCTACAGAAAACTGTAAGCAAACGAAGCTGTGAAGAAGCTCAGGATTACTAAAGAACTTGTGACTGGCTTCACGTCCGCTCAGTCATCTTAACTGATTTATTTTGACCACTGCTGCCTCACTGCCCCTTTGTGTACTGTATCAGACATGTTGTCCTTACACTTTGCTTGGGGTCCACTGTTAATGTTGTTGCCTGGGGCCCCGATTTCCATTTGGAATATTCAGATTATTTAAAGAAATATATTTCTGTTAAGCACAGCAACTGTCTGTGACACAGTGCTGGACCACAACCTGTTTCTGCGGAAACAGCCCAGAACAGTAAGCAGTGTTTTGCAATAGATAAATGGAACTGTTGGAATGGTACAGAAGTATTTCATTAGTGAGCAAATAACTTTTTGTTTTTTTTACTTTTGCCATTTAGATGTTGTCATCTCTTCTGTGTACTTACCAATGTCCTACTTCCCAGCAGCTGCAAACTGCTGCTTTAATTTAAGTGAGAGAAAAAAAACAGATGCCAATGTTATATGTGAAATAACCAAGGTACTGTAAATTTCCAGAAAGTGTTCAACCACTTTTCCACAAAACTGAACTTTCTTTTTTCATGATTACCTTGTGAGGAAACTCACTAAATAATGATGGCATCTCACAACTTGTGCAGATTCACAGTTTGTTAAAATACAGGTATACAAGAATACAAATAATGTACAGTATTCTTAACAAATCTAAAAATACACTATAAGATGCATCAGATATTATGGTGATATATCATATATACTGTATATAGGGTGTCACACTTGTGCAGTGGTTAGTACAGATGCTTTGCAATAACCCAACGGCCTTGGGTTCGATTCCAGACCTGGGGTGCTATCTGTGTGGAGTTTGTATTGTATGTTCTCCCTGCATTTGTGTGGGTTTCTTCCAGGTGGGCTTAACAGTAAGACGTACTGTTAGGTGAACTGGCTTCTGAAAAAAAACAGATCCTGGTGTGATGTCTACTGTATGTGCGCTTTGGGATGGACTGGCATCCTGTCCAGAGTGTATCTTGCCTGGTGCCTGTTGCTTGCTGGGATAGGATCTGACCCGCCTGCGACTCTGTACGGGATAAAGTGGCTATGGATGGATAATATTATATAATTGCATTTCATCATATGTCTTAAATTATGTAGCCTAGGATTAGTACTTCTTGGGGCCTGTAAAACCTACAAATGTTCCACAATTCTAAAAGATTTTGTGCCCAAAAAAGCGCTACTTGCACTCTCGCCTCTTGCAGTAGGTTTGATCCTTGCCTGGACAATGCTGTGTTCTAGCGACGCAGTGGTTAGGGTTTATGGGTTCATAACGAGGCGGTGGTAGGTTCACATCTCAGGTGAGACACTAGTTGCACACTTGAGGGAAGCACAAATTTCCCTGGTAAATCACCATGCTCTATGAATGTGTGCAAATTTAAGTTGCTTTGGATAAAGTGTCAGTAAAATACAATAGTTGTAATTCAAATGTATTCTACTTTTGGCTAACTATATTTATTCTGTAATGTTTTCTTTTTTTAACAAATTTAATTTCGTTTTCCAACAAAATATAATAGGAAACAATTGTGAGCTTGCAATTTAATGTAACACTCCAGAGCACATGGCTTTTAATGAACACAGAAAACATTAGTCAATTGCTTTACAGTGTAGTCAATGATGCACTTTTTTACAGCCTAAATGTTGTAGAACTATAGACGCAATAACTTTCCATGGTGGGTTAACTCCAATTTTATTGATTTATTATCCTCAAATGACATGCAAATGTTTGCCCTGAAATAAAAACGAAATTGCTTCCATCTTGGGCCAAGTATTTTCATACATCAAGATGTGTCACGTATGTAAGATGTGATTCAAATTATGCACCACAATGAAGAGAAGAGAGCTGCACCAGTGTGATGGCCATAAACGAATAAGATCAGAATTCCATGCTGAAAAGAAAGACAATATTGTGGGAACGACTGTGTGAGGGAGGGCACGGCCCTGCAGTCCTGGCAGAAAGTATTCTGTTAATGACAGTGAATGGACAGGAAGATGGCAGGCTGACTGTTTCAGAGAGCAGTGAGGATCCGAGATCTGTCCAAGTCCACTCTCTCACCCTTGATTACACCGGTCATTCTATCTGCGTCCCCTCAGAGAGATTCACACACTGAAGCCCGAATTCCCTTTAATCACGCCAGGGTTCACACACTTCCCTGGCACTCAACACTCAACTAATCTCTGTACGATCTGGCCATCCATTTACCGATTCTTCCTTCCATACTTCCCCTGGAATGCGTCGCTCTGACTTCAGTCTCTTCAGCACCCTGCGCTCTCACATCTCCACTGTCTCTCTTCGGGAGTGTGGAGGAGTCCGCAGCCCTTTCCGAAAGAGTGTTACCCCAGCATCCTGGTTAAAAATCAGCCCGGGCCTTGCATAAGTTGTCTTTCCTGAAATTCACCCTCCCGAACTTGGCATTCAACTAGCGGAGCCACTGCTCTGTTCTCAGGACTCTCAATCTTGATCCTGGAGTAGCCACACCAGCTGGTTTGTGTTCAGACCAGGCCCTTGAACATCAGTGCTGGTTGCCGTCAGACTCCATGCATGGCATTTAGACTTTTTTTCTGTATTCAGGCTTTGGTTGCAGAAATACCCCAGTACAATGCTTCTCCATCCCAAGTGACCCCTAACTAAAGCTACATCTTCTGGATTTTGCTCTAGCAATCGAAGTTCTTGGTCACAGTCCAATTTATTTTTTTCCATCTGAATTTTTCCATTTTTTTAAATTTGCTTTTCCCTCTTAAAAAGCTGAAAGAGATTTCTAAATCGGTGAACCCTGTGCTAATTAGTAACTTTGAGAGCTCCCTCATTCATACTGTATGTTTCACTTGTTAACAGCTGTTTAGTCAGAAATAAGGGAGCTGCAGTATGCCTTAATTAACAAGTTGAGAAGTGACTGCATACAATTGTGTGCTGACATTTTTGAAATCACACACTTCATCCAGAGTATTTTTGAAACCGAGGAAATAGGTCTAAAAGCAAGCAGGTCAAATTGAGACCAAGAACCAGACTGGGACTGAGAATCACACAATCTCAACTTAACTATCTGCTTAGCCACTCAGTAAGAGTAACCAGGAGCTGGCAGAGTCAGTGCTGAACTGCACCTGAAAGCAGGCAAATGAATTTCAGCATGCTGCTCCATGCTGTCTCCTACCACCTAAACTGTACAGTACATCTCCGGATATCTTCACCATTCCATTGTTTCTTCTGAATTCACTGCATGGTAATCATTAGCCAGCTTAGCAGTAGTTTTTAAAGCAATCGTGTGTTCTACTATTCCTTGCTGATCGAGCATGAGTTACTGTACAGCTCCAAGTCATAATTTGTCCACCAAACTTTTCTTTGACAGGACAACACACATCTCATACAGCATTTAAAAAAATGCATTTTTTTAAGAAAGGAATGTTTACTGTAATTGCTTTAAGTGTCACCCATTGATGGAAGATTTATTTACAGAGGAAACAGAATCTAATCACAGGCCTTTCAGAAGCTTAAACAAGCAGGGTTTTAAAATATTTACTGTAAATCACACTGAAGGAAAATGAACTCACATAGCACCTATATTTCCTGCATGCAAATACAAATTAAGAAAATAAATTATTTACTTCTAACAAGCCAATGCTCTGCTTCAGGTGATGGGATTTCTACTGTATATCAAATTACTGTATAATGAACTAGTAAAAACAGTTTCAAACGTTTGAAACTCAAACTTTTCATCCAATGCATTTTTTTAGCTGCCTGTTCAATTGTACTTGAAATGGTTACAAAACTCACAATGCAACATATATAAACAATGACAGACATTATGCTATGTACAGTACACACTCAGTTATAAAACCTGTTAAGAAACATTTATTTTGAAACAGCAGCTGTTACTTTCTTGTATGTCTGTCCCCCAGAACTCCCAGGTTGCATATTCAGACTGAACAGACTGCACACAACTGCAGTCATCATGCTGCAACCTCAGTACATTTACAACGTAAAGAGCTTTCCATCTGTGTATTGCTTTTTGGAATGAATGCTTTGACAAAAATCACATTCTAACAACATTTCTGAACATCTACAGGAAACTACTCCCCTGTGTGTGCGCACCACTTTCATCACAAAGAGTTTCCTGCTTTGTATCAATGTTCTCCACAAACCCTTATCATAAAAAAATTGATATAGTTTTTTTCTGCAATGTTTATTGTTACGTCTGCTCATAAATGTCTGACACTGAAAGCACACATCAGAAGCTGGCTTCAAGTAATTACAGTTACAGCAGTACAGTAAAATTAAATGATGAAACAATTCCCTCAAAACAGGTTCTTCCCTCTGCAGTTTTCTAACAAAGCTTGTATCAATGCTTTTTTCAGTATCTTTGAACTATATACCTTTGCTTTGTTAAGTTTTATACACTAATGCTCAGTATATAAATGGTATATTTCTGGCTTAACATTTCAGGTTTGGTGTTTCTTTGGAAAAAAAGAGTACAATAATGTCTTTCGCTTTGAAAAGATGGTCTCCAGGCAGTGTAATTTATAGGATTTACATTCCTGTAGTACCACTTCTTCTTTTAGAATGATAAAAAGCAAAAACTGCATTTAGAAAATAAGCCTTATTTATCAACCATTTGTCACAAATGAGACATTAAAGTAATTAAGACTTACTATAATTAGATTTAAGAAACTGATTTCTGTCCTGCCCTACTCATCTTATGTACTTCAAAAACAGGGGCCATACCTTTGGTTCAAAACTAAAATGTTCACAGTCGTATCAATCCTGCAGAGATCCTAAGCCATTCTAAGTAACTTTCACTTTAACACATTCTAAGAGCACAGCCAGTCCAGACAAGATGGCAGCCTTGTTTGGACCACATTCCCCAGAATCCTCTGGGGGATTGAGCTGCTGCTCTCAGTCACGTGGCCAGTTGCTGGAAGACAATTGGTCAGGTGACAGTTTAAAAAGCAGGGCTTTCTGTGTCAGTTGGAGTCATACGGTATCTGTCTTCTGAAAAATGAGGAAATAATGACAAAAAGATTAAGAAGTTAATACAGTAAGTGCTACAACAAATAAAACTTTTTAAAAACATTTTACATTTTCAATGACCTTGTCAAGAACAAATCACAAGTAAACATAAAAATATAAGTCTCTCAATAAAAAATGAAAGAAATTCCTTGGGGCACTAGCTTTTTCTATGTACAAAGCAGGAATGCCTAGAAACATCATGTAACTAAAAAGAATTTAACCAATATAAACCTAAAATGTTTCTCACTATAGTACTAGCTGTTTATTTGCATTTCAGATGATTCATAAATAAGTATCATTTTGGTTGTGATGCAATGTGTACAACAATGACTAGAGTCTCCACTCACTACTCTTATGGACATCCTGAAGAGGTGCAGTTTGACAAACAGTATTTACATCTCAGGATTCACAGATAAAGAGGCAAGGATGGACTACAGCTGAACAGAAATAAAATAAACATCCCCTTTCAATAAACATCACACTTTTGCAGCACAATTGACAATTTCTTTTTCTGAAATGTTGATGTTTGGGATTCTAGCCATGATTCTAACTTTTTGGTGCTTCATGCAAGTCTAATAAAAACTGTCCAGTTACTTCAGCAATAAGGATCTCCAGACATGAAAAATGAAACATAATTCATATAATATGAAACAGTGCAGACTGCAAAAATATCGGAATGATGAAGAATGCATACTGCCCCAAAACAGAAACCGTGCATGACTGATACAGTAAATGTCTAAATCAGCTAGTTAATGTTTGTGAATCACACAATGCGTGAAAGAACATTTCTTTCACATGAGAACAGGTGACAAAGGAAAAAATGAAATGACATTTCATGTCTCAAATTCCTTGACTGGTATGTGCAAAGTGTAGAGTCAATTTTTCAGCTTTAATGTGTGGAAACTGCACTATTCGAGACAGCGTACAGAGAGGCAATACGTGCATTATGTGAAACTCTCTGGTTGACATGGAGATCATGGTCATCCAATGAGAGTCATGATAAGCATATTGAAATGACCAGTGAGTATGTTTTTATTTGGAACGTCCTTACAAGCTGTTTGCAAATCGCCTCAGATGAAACACCATAGGTGCAATAATGCCAAACCAGCATCAATGACAGCGTCACAATGCTGTCACATGGCCGATGGCTCATGCTCCTCACCTCTGGAAGAACGTCTAATGTCCGACGTCAGATGCTGCAAAACAAGAGAATCTACCCACAAACTGGGTGACTGATTTGCATTTATGTCCGTTATGAGACATAGGGGCACTGTATTAGGAATGCTTAAACTATCCAGGGGAGGTGCATTTAAAACTGAGAACAGGAGTTACTTCTTGATCCCTAAGGGCTGTGGGGGTCTGGAAGAAGCTGCCCAGTCATGTTGTTAAAGCTGTTTCCCTGGCTTCTTTCAAGAAATGGCTGGATGGGATCCTCTGATTCATTTCTAACTACCCAACGGGCCAGGAGGGCCGAACGCCCTCCTCTTGTTTCTAACTTTTCTTATGCTCTGATCAGATGTTAGTTGTACTGCTGTTCATCTTACACCTCAGTGACACACCATGTCTACAGACATTTCTACCGTATCGTATGCCCAGTTTCTGTTTTGAGGCAGGTCGTATTCCAGTGTGTCGCTGATGACGAAGGCGGTTCAGATTGCCCTGCCCTGATCCAGGACAAGTCTGAACGTAGTAAAAGGTGCGATTTGAGATTTGGGGGCCCAGACGTGGCTCGACTTACACCGCTCAGTCAATGCCTGGTCAGAGAAAGGTGTGCATGACTGCTGAGGCAGCACTGACCCACCCCCGCCCAGTGGCACTGAGACAATTCTCTGGCCCTGCTGGGGGTTTGTGGACATGCCTAGCAGATGATGTGCAGCCTTGACTCTAACCTTTCCACATTAATGGTCACGTTCTGTCCACAGTAAAAACTTCATGTGTAAGTAACAAAGTAGCCTCAAGCAACTTTTAATTTTGTCTGATTGAATTTGTACGTAACCAGATATCAGGGGACTCAGGCAGTGGGCAGTTTTGCTTCTCGGTACGTCTACAGTATATCATTATTTTCACTTTATAAAATGTAATCGGTTATGTCTGAAGTTAAGCATTAGGCCAACATTATCATGAAAAGTGCATGAAATACAATTAATAAAAAAGCAGATTATTGCCAGGTGACACAAATCTGGACAGAGTCATGAAAGGTTCACGGACAATTTCAAACCCACAAATGAGATCAGAAGTGCATTTCCAAAGCAATGCCAGGGGTCAATGTCCACCCACTGGATCCCTGCAGTCCAGACAGCTTTGCATCAACAGCAGTCAGTCAACCTTTACACTGACATACTGGCATAAAATTGGGTTATTCCTTGCACTCCTGCTCAGTCACCAGTCTAGTCTTAATGCTGCTTCTGTGTGTTGCAGTTCTGGAGAGTCAAAGTTACTCAGCACTGCCCTCTGCTGGCCCACCACTGGTCTTGCCTGTTTTCTTAGCTTCCCTCTGCAGCAGCTCCTGCTCTTTCTTCCACAGCTTCTCCCTGTGTTTCTCCAGCTTCTCCCTGGTCTTGAGCGCCTTGTCCACGACTGCCCTCAGGTCTTTCAGTTTCTTTTTAATGAGTGCTCGGTCTTGGGAAGAAACAACACCCAGGGACTAAAACCACAGCAAATAAAAACAACCAATTAAATCTACACATTAACCACTGCTACAGTTAGTACAGCGTTTGATTTATTCTGTCTCTGACCCCTTATTCCTCTACATTCACATAATAAAACACTTAGGAAATCATTAATATCTTCTTTGTTACATAATGCAGCAGCCAAATCCGTGACCCGTGAGACACTGAAATTCACTAACTCTTTTGATGTGATGTGTTTTATCCACAGGTGATAATCTCTGCATGACGATGCAGGGCGTGCTTCTTTATAAAGACACGTTTTCTTCCAGCTGTTCGTTTGAGAGCAGTGTTACTGCTTTTTAGCCTGATCATGTCGGATCCCAGAAGCTAAGCAAGGCCGGCTCAGTATGGGAGACCTCATAGGAAAGCCACAGTCATGCTGTAAATGGAGCTTGCTGAACAGTAGGTGGCGCTGCTCCCTCTGGACCATAATTTAGAAACAAATTTCCCGTTGTCACAAGCAGGGACACTTTCAAGTAGAAATTGCTAACCTATTCTGTAATCAATATTCCTGACTATGTGGTCATTAAAGATCCTATAACACTGCTCTTAAGAGTAGGGGTACTATTCCAGGTGTCCAGGCTAAATTCCACTTTGCGTTCCACCTTAATGCAATTGGAAAAGTAATGACTAACTTCTCCACTAATTACTGCTACTGTATGTAATTAGACTGCTGAAGCTCAATGGCTTCACTTCAGTGCTATGTGTGCAATGTCTTGGTAAGCTTTGGGATGCAAAGTACAACAGACATGCAAGGAAATTAATTACCATCATTATTTACTACCATCATCTGGAAGTCTCTTCAAAGGGGAGCAACACCTGTGTGAGCTCTGCACTTGTAGGGTGATATTTGTCAACTGTGGACATTTCTTCCCTAAATGCCTTTCTTAGCTCTCTAATTCACATTGTATCTAAAAGCCCGCAGAGGCACTTTAAGTCTTGACTCTCTAAATTATCCTGTGAACCCACTTAAACTTAGATAGATACTTTATTGATCCCGTGAGGGAAATTGCAGAATTTCTAGTTCTTATCTTATTTTTCAAGACCATTCACTTCTGAAATAGCCATTTCAAATCTGAAGAACTAGGCAATTTTTATAAAAAAAGTGGAAAAATGAGACCAGCACGTCTCAAGTTCTGATATTCAATAATGCCTGTCTGAAAAGAACCCCTTTACCTTCAGCTTTCTCCCATCCAGCTGCAGGAGCTGCTCTCCATTGATGCCTTTGGCAGTGAATTCTGGGACATACTGTTCCAGGTTTAAGCCCATGAGCCAGTGAGAGACCTGCTGGCAGCTCCACTCAAGAACAGCTCGGTTCTGCCACTGCTGGTGTTTTGGGGAATGGCTGTCGTCTAGTATCTATAAATAGAGGAATGCTGCAGCTGCATAAAAAGCTGGATTTCAAATGACAAATTCAAAGCACATATCAAAAGTACTTCAAAGGCTGTTCTATTGCAATGAAACTGAAGCGTCCATTCAAAAACAATTGTGTTTTCCTCTCTAAAATGGCCTCCATTGTAACAGTTCAGATGGTCACATGTGAAAAAGCAATCATTTGATGCTGTTTGGAAGAAAGTGAAAAGACTCCCCATATTAATCAGAAGAACAAGGATTTTTGTAAGTTTAAATAATCTGCCATTTCTGCTAAGGAGAAATGGGTTAGATATAAAATAAGACGTATTCCAGTTACACTCAATACTACTGTCCCTCACCTCATCATCTATCATCTCCAGACTCTGAGATTGGCAGCACAAAAGAATCAGAAATTGTTAGTGAAAACAGAGAATATACACCCATTATTTTAAAAACAAGGAACAATCTACAGAAAACAGGACACACTCTGATAACATCATTATAAGCAAGTAGATTATGAAACTAAAATATAACTGATTGTGAAGAGAATATGAAGGCCACTCTGGCAAAATCAGATTGATGTTTTTTTTCCATTCAGACTGCTTTTGAAAATACAGGGTTTCAGCAAAGATTTATTTGTATCTTTTCAGTTCTTCCAACATACAGTAACATTGAGGAGATGCTTGCATTAAGATCTAGTGTAGGGGAGACATTTTGTTATAAACATTTTCTAATCTGATCAACAATAAAAAATGTTTTGTGAAGCGTTTTAGTAATTCCTAAAAAACAATTAATCTCTCTTCCTAAAAATCCATGGACCATACAATATGTACAGAATATAATATACAGCATAATAATATATTACAGAGGAATACTGCTTTGAAAGGTTCATGCAAAATGAGATACTGATTAGATCCAGCAGTATGAGTTGAAGATAAAAGCTATGACACCTAACACTTCTGATGTGCTGATTTTATCCTTTAGTCTTACCTCATCTGATGACAAAGCCAAGGAATGTGAGCGCCCTGTTATTTTAGGTTCTGCCACCAAGCCACTGAAATCTGCAGAGCTCACACTGCTAGCACTTACGTCATTGTTTAAGCCAACATTCTGAAATAAGAAACATGATGTCAGCTTTAAAGCAATACATTACTTACTTTGCTTTAAGTAAAAATAATTAAAAAAACTGAAGACATAGCAGGTGTAATCACAGGCAAAGAAAGCTTTTTTTTTGGGGTGTTGTTGTTATTCAGTGTTTTATTGGAAAGTGAATTTCCGCAGAGATTTTCTGGCAAACTGTTTAGATAAACGGCAAAATCAGAAATTCTTTTAGATTTTTCAAATTAGCCTTATACAGTACTAGTAACAATACAGCATGGTCAACAGAACTGAAGCTCCAGGTTTCTTTGACCCTGATCAGGAATATGCAGCTTCCTGCTAAAGGATGGATAGTGTTTATGCAAATAGGCTCAAGGTTTCACATATTTTACCTCCAAGACATGGTTTTTCATCCACTACTAAATGGCTACCATATGAGTGTACAGACATACTGTATCGGGCTGCTCTAATGATTTCTGTGAAAAAGAAATACTGTGTCCTCACCAACTGACAGGTCATGCATTGGCAGGCTGCATGTACAGTATTATACATCTGCCTGATATTGTATATAAAAAAAACACATCTAAGGAGTTACAACACTTTAACAGTGTGCTTAATAGTAGTGAGATAGTTAAAAAGAATCCAAATAAAAAAAAGATTTAGTTTTAGTTTGACTTGGACTGTCAACTGCCATGCACTTGTTCTGAGAAAAACTGCATACCGTATTATATTTACACTTACTTGAGGTAAATATACACTTACGGAGACCTTGAAACATTTCAGCACATTCAGAATGGCTACAGAGTACCCAGAGCACTGTATCAATATTTAATAAATTGTGCAACATGTACAATTTAGGAACCTGAAGTGAATACTGTCTTTCACTTTTGTTACTGCTTTTTTCAGAGTTAGTAATGTGGTGTAAATGGTGTTTGAGATGGTCCTTACCTTAGCCTTGTGTTTTTCGGGGCTGTTCTCAGAGGAAGGCTCGGTGGAGCTGGTGGGAGAAGGCAGGTAACTGGTCAGAGCAGAGGCCCCCAGCTTCCCCTCGGAGAACAAGGCGGGAGGCAGACAGGGCTGGGGACACGGCTCCCACTCAGCTATTCTCCTCTGTCTGAAAGCTCTGCACCACATTTGTAAGTTGCAAGTAACCAGATTCTCCTGAGGTGCAGGCAATTTATTCCGTCCTGATTTGGATCTTATAGTTTGTTCCATTACGCATCAACAGATGCGTAACAATGCTTGTCAGGAGATAATCCCTGTAGCAGCCATGTTTATGCGAAGGTTTCTGAAGGCAAATTATTTTTGAAATCCGAATCACTAACAATAAGGTTCGTCCGCAAACCTTTTTGCAAACGCAATTGCACTTGCGAATCCACCAGCTGTGAACTTAAACGCTGGCATTCTTCAATGGTCAGGATCATAAATCATCATGTTATCCACTTATTTATAGGCACCAGCTGCAGCAGTGAAAACAAGAGTGTCCAGTAAACTGCTACCACTTGGCAGTTTCTCAGGTGAAGGGGCAGCTAGCAGTTACAACACAGCTCAACACAACAATATGAAAGCAACACATTTATTTCGGTCTGTAATGTATAACAGTCTCACGTTTATTTCCAATTAAAATAAAAACAAACGTAATCATCTGCAGTAAAATAAGATAGAAAATTCAATTTACTATAATGGTATTAGAATAACAGCAATTGGATATGGTTTTGGATGTATAATTATTAAAGCCAAAGACTATTCACTGCTTCTGTACTTTAAAGGTAGTTTTCAATTTTGTGAATGATGCGATGACTAAATTTCACAATGGAGATGACCACATCAGCATACAGAAAGTATGTACGTTCCTGGGTCCCAGGCTGGAAAATCCTTTTGCTTTTAAACGAAAAGCGAAATATGTTTTCTATACAGTATGTGTGCAGTGGGAGAAACTTTCAATTCCTGCCTGGCAGGTTGTGGGTTCGAGTCCCCACCGCTGTTGCCCCTTGACTGGGGTACTTCACTCCAATTGCTCCAGTCCACCCATTTTGGGGGGCTAATCCCTTGGATGGATTGATGTCCCATTTTGGGAAGGACTCGGATATTCTCTAGACTGATGAGCTTCTGTGTCTCTGGTGTGGAATTTAAACCCCAAGCAAATTAGATTATTTTTACAAGAATATGTTTGATACATTTCATTTATACCTAACAATTAACTATTTAATCTGGCTCAGTGCCACAGCACCCCACATAGTACTTGCATTGACTAGAATTGGCAGGCCATCAGCATTTTCTACAATGTAAGTCCAGGCAACATATCGCCTACTGCACTGCTGCACTGGAGTACAGGCAAAGCTCTCAACCGTTATAAAAGTAACAAGCTAGCAGCATCTAGGATCTGTGGGTCTTATGCCCATCTTAACCTAGTAGCCCTATTTAGAAAGTCACAATCAAAATTACCAGAGATACAGTCACTTTGTGAACTAGTGAACTCCAGGCTACAGTATGTAGAGCACATCCCACATTATAAGCACAGCCCTTTAGCAGCTGGGCTACTGGGAAAAAAGCAAACTGCATTGTATGAAGTTCATTTTTCTTTACCTGTTTCCAGATGAGAGCCTACTGCTATCTTTGTCCTTCTTCTCTCTGCCAGGGCTGTGCCTCGCTGGTGATCTGCAGAAGCACATACTGTATCATCATCGGTTATCAAAACCCCACCAATACCAACCAGTGAAAAACCATTCAAGCTCTCCATTAAGTGACTAGCTCACTGCATCGCCCTTTCTCTTACCCAAGGTCTATGAGCTTCCTTTTTGTTTTCCCTAGTGGTCCGACTGAGGGGCTGGATATCAGTGGAGACAGAGAACCTGCAAATTAATGTACAAATAAGTAATAATTATAATTTTTACAAATTACTGTACATGGCAGTGTTACTGATCACCTATGGTACTGTAAGAATTCTATAATATTGGTAGAATGCAGCGACAGCAGAGTTTTTCAGTTACAGTATGTATAAAACAAAATCAAATCTAAGATGTTTTACATACTGTATATTTAATGTATTTTAAGTTGCATCTTATATATATATAATAGAAAAAGAGCTGTTTTATAATCCCACGATTACTGCTTTCTTATTTTAAATCAGGGGTATCCAACATACAGTATGCATTTGCAGTCTGAGCCACTGTCAAGGATTTTAATTTGTGTCTTGTCTGACCCTGCAGAGAACCACACAAGACAGGCAGACCTGGTGATGTTATTTTAACAGTGCACCCTGTAGAGCAATAGAGCAATAGCAATAGTAGTAGAGGTGATTTTTTTTGCTGTTTTTATATCTCTGATGACTAACAAATAACTACTATCCTACATTTTTGGTGTTTACATGTTGTCATGCTATATGCCTTTAAGCTTGCCTTTTGTCAATTCTGTTTCCTAGTTACAAACACAAACTTTGATAACTATAAAACAAAGTGAACTGCTTCTCAGTTATCTCACTCATCTGATAATCTAATCATTCCCTTGAACAGAGTTCACAGGTGTTGCCGATAATTAATTTTAGAACTGGTATAATTAGCATTTCAGTCCTTTAGTTTACCAATTGATATACAGTACACCCATACATGCAGTATACAGTATATACATTGTACATTATATGTCCATCATACAAGTCCAATGTTCAGTTTAAGAGGATTATTGTTCCTCAAAAACATCACAATGTGAAATTTCAATTAGCCAACATTAATTATTCATTATTTTATATGTAAAAACTTATACCTCATTAGGTCTACAAAATCCCCAAATATTATTATTATTACATTAATAGAACTGAATTGTTCAGATAAGAACGCTATTACATATTTAATTACATCATTAGCCTGTTTAACTTAACACCAAAGTTAAGACAAAATATTAAAAAAATTAAAACTCTTGAACAATGCCCAATGCAGCTAAGTTGAAGGTAAGACAAATGTCTTTAGACCAATTGCCTTTATCAATCCACTGTATTATTTCAAGCTTTACAGTCAGGGAAAGTGTATTACTTATTTTCTTTGCTTTGTAACACGAAGCACTGACAACATTTTACCCGACATGACTAAAAAAATAAAGGGGATGTTCAAGGATAAAAAAACCTAAATAAACAAGATCACATGGAAAGAGCAACAAAATGATTTGCCTACATTATAGCAAACATGCGTCCAAAAAAACAGGTATGAAAATACATGAATCGTCATAGCAAAAATTAGTGTAAATTGCACGTGCATACAATGATGTGCATTAGAGGACATAGTTGTTCATCCATTTTCATCAGTTACTTAACGAGATATACTGTACGTAGATTACAATAAGCACAGCTCTTCTGAACTTATTAATTATGGCTAATAATGTTGAAAAATATCACACACTTGTATTCAGAGGATAATGAGTGTGTGTTTCTAAAAATGAATCTAGAGAAAATGCAATGACAGCTAACTGCATTTTTAAAGGGAGTTATTTCATTGTAACAAAAACGCCAAAATTACCAAACATTACGAAATAAATAACTTTTCTTGTACAACTGGATTGCAGTTTGCACTACTTACCGTCTGAGAGCTAACTAAATAGCATTTCGTTATACCATATACCCGTCTATGAGCATAATGACAAGAAACCTGAAACTTGAATAACTTGTAATGCCTGTGCCTAGTAGTTTGATCGTTCATATGATATTAATATGAATAAATAATATGTAAATTAAATCAGGCCGCATCTAGCTAAGGAGCCTGACACCCCAGTTCACGGTGACCCCCCTCCCCCCAATGGAAGAAGCACTGCAGTGACCTTCATCTTCTCTGTCCAGCTGAGGATGATGCAGAGGAGAGGCTTCTGACGAGCAGGACCTGGACGGAGAAGACGTGGGGGAGTCTTCCAGGACAGCTGTGGAGGCGCCCCCTCCTTGCGCAGGGGGAGAGGAGGAGGTCCCAGGATCCAAGGCTCGGGAGGTGGGCTTCGGCGACGAAGGGAGCGCAGGCATGGAGCTGTGCAGGGGGCTGCTGCCACCCTCTGCAGTCTACAGGAGCAGAGCAGCCAAACACATTACAGTACAGCCATACAGTAGTAGAACAACTGGTTCCCCCTTTCATACTTTTGATCTATTTCAAATATTTCTATTTTAATGTCTGCACTGCTGCAGTAATGGTGCATTCTATTTTATGATTTTCCTCAATGCATTTTATGCAGGATTCACTACACAAAGAGACAGAATCCCATTGAATCTGTCCTCTTTATGATCCTGAAGGGGGAAAAAAACGCCTGACATTTTCAGTGACATTTAAAGGAACGGGGTTTAAAAATATCTCCAGTTTTATATAAACACCATTGCCAGCTGTTATGCTGACACAGTAAAACTCTCATAACAACCTGTCTGGCAGGAGTCTTTTTTGAAAATGCTCAGCAGGTTACTGCTGAGTATGTAGCAGCTTCAAGATGATGGTGAAGGATTTCACAAAGGCAGCTCTTCAAAAATAATTATCTCTAGGAACCGAGCAAAAGCCTTGACTCAAGATTCAAATTGGGTCTTCCTGCACAAGCCGCATACTGTAGCTATCAACACAGTGAATCTCAGACTAAAACACCAAAACAGCAACAAACAGAATAAATAAGTACCTGCAAGCACAAAGAATGCTGAAAGCATACCCCTTTATTTTTTAAAGAAGTTTAACCATTTTATTATTTACTATTTAATATTAAACTAAGTTTTTAAAAAAGCGTCTCTCACACACAAAAATCAAAGTTAAAATATTCAATACTTTCCAATAAAAATAAATAAAAAATCACAAAGAAGAGTATCTCATCACCTACTGGCAATGTCAAATTCACACTTCACTGAATAACGGCAAATGACAAATTACTGCTGTTTTTTTCATACTAATATGTCTACGCATACTGTACTTTGAAGGAAAACCTATAAACCAGTTAAACCAGCAAATCTGTCACCAGGTAAGCAATTATTATCACTCTTTTTCCCCTTTTCAAGAACCACAAAACTGAAGAAGCATATTTGCATTTAGTGCTGAGAGTCTTCTGTGTCCAACCACCACAGTCTGAATACGATTAGTGGCTGGCCTGCAGGCTCCAGTGTTGCAGGTAGGTAGGTCCCCTTTTCAGGCCATAAAGGCCCATGGAGAAAGGGAGGCAGGGGCCACCATTTTTCTCAACCATCTGACACTGGAGGTGGAGGTGATGCGGTCAGCACCACGCTCCGGCCGGCCTGTTACCCCCGGAAGGATTAACCCCCTGGTACTCACTTGGAAAGCAGGCTGAGTGGACCTGGGAGCCGTCTGGAAGGAATTAGAGCAAGCGAAATCACTTGCCCCTACCTGGGGTTGAACCCGGGACCTCCCCTGCTGTCTGAGCTACCACGGCTCCCCGGCGTTGCGGGTGGAGCCGATACTGTCCAGCGCCAGAGTTAACAGGTCGCGCCTTCCCCCTTTCGGCTCGGCGCGTGACCGCGGGGCTCACCTTCCTCTCGAGGCCATCCTCCCCGTCAGTGGAGCTGAGGCTGCCCCGGGGCCGGGGCCTGGAGGGCCGCCCCCTCCTGCTCTTCACGGACAGCTGCGCCCGCGCCTTCAGCGCCTCGCTGTCCAGGCGCTCGGTCTCGGGCACCGCCTCGGCAAAATCTGCCACGTGACAGGCGACAGACAGCAGCGGGTCAGCCTCCGAGCGTGGCAACTCTCTCGCACGAGCGGCTGTTTCCATTTGTCGTCGTCGTCATCGTTGTCTGACCACTCGCTCCTGGTGGGGGCCGCGGTGGCAACAGGCCGAGAAGAGTAGACCAGACAACCATCGGAAGGTCATGCTACGCTGTCGGGAGCTTTGTGCTCCTGCTTGGGCTACGCTCTGCAAATTGCTTGAGTTTTAAGGTCTAAGGTGAGGAGCCAGAGGCCAGACAAAGAACGATCCAAACTACACTCCCACAAAACCAGAGACAACCCAGATTAGGGATACTGGGGCCCACCCCTGGGCTGATAAGTGTCGCAGTTTAAATAATTTTCATAGTTAGAAATTATGAAACGCCCTGTTAACAGCAAGGGAGTTTTTATGTCCGTTGCAGTAAAAGAAAATGCCTGACAAAGTAGGGCTTGGACAGATTCCAAGTGCATTTTTGCAATTTACGTTGCAACAGACAATGTACAGCGTGTGCTATTCTTGTGTTGCGGTACATGAATATAATTATATCGTTATTAATTTCTTTAGATACGCGATTCCATATTATATTCCCTTTTAATCAAATTCTAAAAGTATGCTTGTTGACTCCGGTATCTCGTTAGTTAAAGACTTCGATGCTTAAAATGTTTAGGGAGAAATGGAATACTGCTGTGTATTTTTTCTTTAAAGTACCAAGACCAGCCATATACTGTATGTTTATGTTCCAAAATTAATATCGTTTATGGCCTTCACACGCGTTACAGTATGCTCCTATTCTTTTTATGCTCAGCTACTAAGATTTCCCTTCAGTGGTAAAATTCCATATAAATATTAAATACTACAACGGACACAGTAAAGACGTTTACTGTAAATCTTTCTACGACAGACCAACCAGTGCCCGTGTCGGTCAACCAATCACGTACCGCGGTACCGCGCGTCATCGTGTATCACAATGCGCGACGCCGTAGCCAATTACCTCCGGTACGTGTGTGTACCGCGCACTTTGAATGGCTGCATCTGTATAAGAAATTGTTTACATGCCAATGTATGCAAACATTAAAATAGTCTTTTTTTTGTCAAAGAATTTCTTAAACTGCATCCTGGCTAAGTTGTCCTATTAATTTGTATGGTTTTCGGTGATTACATAATGTAAGCATAATGTCAACTAATACATAATATTTGCAGATATATTTCAATGCAGCAGCAACATTTACAGCCATAAAAGAAATATAAGCCACTCACTGTTTCCTACTAATACCTATGGTCAGAAACTATTGCCTTAGAATGCTTAAAAGCGCTCATTTTTATATTTGTGAGATTACAAGCAACAACATACTGTACTTTCACATTTGTGGAAAAAAGGCAGGAAACAGAACCCTTGATATCTGCCTGATAGTTTCTCAGACATCAGTACATCAGCAGATTTATTCTTCTTGAGCTATGCCAATGACAGAGTTGGAAAACATTGGCTGTATTTTGGGATGTATCTGAAATCTTGCTAGGAGGTCCTTTACGTATGTTCTTTTAATTGGTAGTTTTAGATTATTATTTTATTTTCTCTGGATTCCTTCTGGGGAATCTCCTGAAAAAGGAGATTTTTGTTTTCCCCATGATAAATGTGTTGTGTGAAAACCTGAAAGGAACCCAGTCGTCACCCCCTGCGTACACAGCATAGCCCTCGGCCACTGCTGATAATACTTCTCTTCCTTATTCTGTTCAACACGTCTGGGAAAAAAGAGTAAGAATGTTCTGGATGAACTTGCCTGTATGGCGGCCTCCTTTGGAAAAACACAGAAACCCAGCTGTACTCTTTTTAATGATTAAGCAAAAACAGCTCTACGATTCCCCCTTTCACTTTTGTGTTTATTTGTGAGAGTCAGCATTACTAGCTTCGGTGAACATCCTAAATTCTTTACATACAGAAAGACTTACAGTAAGTAATGTATAATGTTGAAAATGTGCTATAATACGTTTAAACACAAAATGTTTTTTGTATCCATCATAGTGAATATTACAAAAACAATGTGAACAGTAACAGGGCTGAAATTATTTTCCTTTCTGTAATTAAAGATTAACATGTTCACATTTAATCAGCTTCTTTGTGAGAAGTGGCTACTGTGCAGCACTAAGTCACCCATTTCCTTGAACTCGGTCGTGCTGTGTCACTGTTTTTAATACTGTATTACACTTGCTGTACTAAGTTTAAATGGGTAACTTACCATAAACATTAATTGGTAAGTTACCCATTTAAATTGGTAATAGCTCTTACTTTGACAATTCAGTGCTCTAAAAGTAAATAATAAATAATAATGGACAATTTTCTAGATTCCTGGAATGAGTTGTAAGCTTTTACATGTGAAGTACAGTAATTGGAATTTAATTTTCATTATATTAAATTTTACATTATGTACAGTTTTGAAGAATGTATTACCTTCGAAAACTGGATGAATGCATAGCAATTGGTAAACTGCAGGACTGAAATGTGAGTTATCAGACTCCAAGATTAGTGAACAGCATGACCTGTTAGCCTGAGAAAGCCATAAGAGTAACTGTACCTGTGATGATAACTGAGAAACAACTTGCCATATTTCATTATTAGGGATTGTAGTGTTTTTAAGAGGGGAAAAAACTGGCAAAAGGTAAGGTTAAAGGGACATTGCATGACAAAAAAAACACAGAAAATGCAGAAGACTATTTTCTAGATATCAGATATCTAGATATCAACGACAATAAATTACCTTCTACAACTATTGCTATTGCTCTGTGGCAAAACGTACCTGTTGTACAAATCCCGCATGATGGCATTCCATACACTTATATGAAGAAATATATATTTCTCTGCTTCTCCGGAACCACACAATATTCTTTAGTTTTCCTTTCTGCTTTCATATAATTAAATGGCCCTTCTTACTGTGTTCAAAATATCCTTTGGAGATCATACAAAACAGACTAGATACAGATTCAGTGAGACCAACAGTGGTTCAGCTGACGAAGTTGCTCCAATATTTGAGGCCTTAAAGGGAAGTATGTGTAAAGTTCTCATGCTGTCATGGTGTCAAGATTTCCCCCCCCACATTTATCGTGCACAGACACACAGTGCCTTAACTAAGCATATGTGACATCATCAAAAGGGGGCACTTTGATTGGATCAAGGAAGAGGACCTCAGGAAGCATTGTGGATCTAGGACTGTTACAGTCATTTCACGAAGTGCATCTGCTTCATGTTTGGGCTATGCAGGCTCAGACAACTTAATCCAGGCCGATGGCTCGGACCACAGCTGGCACATGGGCTGAACAAAGGTCTGGTGGGCCTTTGAGTTTTTCAGATTGTTGTAGCGCTTGATAAACTAGAAAAAGTTACAAACGAACCACCATCGGCAACAGCTCCACGCGTCCTCAGCGCGTCTTCAGTACTTTCACTTGGCTCCTCCCTCCCGAGGGTGGAAATCCGCTCGGCACTGTTGTTGTTGTTGTTCACCTGGGTGCCGCTCTGCTTCATCAGATTTAGTAGTTCTGCTTCGAGGTTTGAAATCTGTCAAAAAAACATTTGTTCACATCAAAACAAATCAAGGAATATGGAAAAATCTTGTCGACAATAACTGCCCATTTTAGCTGTCAATACCAGTAAAACCACAAAGCCATACTGTTTTATGAAAAGGAACAAGTAATAGGTTTATTTCATGCTGAAAAGAGAAGAAAGACTCCACACCCAAAGACACCAGAAGAAGGCTCCACATCTGAAACATTGTCTTTCCTTTCTTCTCTCTTCAGCCTGGAATAAACCTTTACTTGTTCCTTTGCAGCCTACACATGCTGACGCAGCTCCCCACCTGAACTGTTTAATGAAGACCATTCTCAAAAGTTGCTCATTAATCTATAATTTGTTAAATAAATATAAATATACCACTAATTATTTTGTTATTTACAGGACGGTGTGGAAATGAACATAAATCTGTATAAAAATGCATAATTATACCTGATGGTTACAGACCTTCCTTCTTAAAAAAAGTAAATTCACAATTCAAATTTATCTTTGCGAACTCACACTGTGTCAGGCAGACTGATACTGCAATACCGTTACAGTCTGACCCATGCGAGATAACAATGTAATATGAACTCTCTACTTCTGTCCACACTTGGACAGGACATTTAAACAGTTTAACATTAATACTGAGTATTAAGACTATTGCAGAGTATTACAGTACCTGGAGAACATGACCTTTCAGTGCAGGATTACTTATTTCACTCTGACTATTTTGTTTAAATATTAAATATTATTCTGTGATGCATTAATGTTGTTGAGGATGATTTAAATGTGTGAGGTCCATTCTCAGTCTGTTACAACATTCAATACAGCCCGATCAGCAAGGGTTTGCTTAAGGAAAAGTCTTATCACAAGGTTTTGCTCAGCACCTGAAGACAGACTAAACAACTACAACATCCATCAGTCAAACATTTAGAAGGATAATTCTTTCATTCTAATTTTAAAGTGTTAAGAGCAGGAGAACTTATCAGGGCCTTTGTATGATTTAATGTAAAATATTTTCGTGTTCTGCAAATTGTTTACGTGGATGTCTGATTGTTTATAAATGTTAAAAATGTCTCATTACCTGGGCTTGAAGTCCTTGGATTTCTATAAGATGTACTTTCTCTGCATCTTCAAACTTTCTCTTTTCGACTTGCTCTCGCTTGACAAAGTCTAGCTCCCTGTCAGGAAGATTCAACAGGCCGGCTATACAAACAGTAGGCTTTCATGAAGTTGTTTGCATTTAGGATTGAGACATTTTATTGTCTGAAAAAAAACCTAAAGTAAGAGATCTATATACAGTACAAGGGTTGCCTGGAAAGAAATTCCCCATCTTTTAAAATAATATAAATTTCCCACAGGAAAACAATGAAGCTTACAATCCTGCTGTAAGATTTAGCATTACTGTCATAAAATTCCTACTGTAAGTTCAGATGTGCAGTCATTAGTCATCAAATACATTCTGAACAGGAACAAAAAGTGGGACTTTCTCGACGACCCTCACAGTTTTCCTCAAAAATCAAAAATCACACACCAAGGACCACTAGAAAAAACAAATCATACGCACGCATTCCCATTATTCAAAAACAATTAAACTAAGGTCTCCAAAGCAGAAGCCAAAACACTAATCATCTTTCACATTTTCTTTTTTCCTGTGAATAAGTGCCATCCAGCAGATTTAACATCACCATGTGGGCAGCACTGGGCCACTACAGAGATGTCTCTTGAGGGCACCTTAAGCTCAGGATCACAATGCACAATAAACCTTTTAGATGGAATCTCATCCACAGATGGACCTAACAAAATCATTCCAGTTCTTTTCAAACTGAAATCAAACAACAACCTTCAATACGAAAGCAACTCAAAGGTGTTCTGGTGTTCACAGCTCCTTACTTTTGCTGGAAGTCCTTGATGAGTTTCTTTGCCTTGTTGTACTTTTTTTCCAGCGCCTGGTACTGGCTCTGGGTGTCTTTCAGATGCTCGTTCACCGTGTGGCACAGGGTCTGGGCTTCGATCCAGTAGCCTTCCAGCTTCAGCATCCTCTCCTTGTTGTCATCGATGCTCTTCTGCAGCTGGGTCTTCTCCCGTTCCCAGCGAACCCTCTCGTTCTCCGTGGACTGGAGCTGAAAATAACCCACCCGCCCCAAAGGAAGATGTCAAAAAAAAAATCAGCTCGCAATGCCCTGAGCACCCAGGTTATTACTGACTTGGCATTTAAAGTAATGCTTATTTTTTTATTTGCTCTCAATTTATTTTAACTTCTTATATTTTTCACTGTGTCATTACCAAATTAATCCCTAGGTTTCAGGCTCAAAAGTTCATACCCTCAGTGCAATCAATTTTAATGTATTTCAATCCCAAGTGACAGACTGTAAAATCCAATAATGCCTCGTGTGATTGTTTTTCTAATATTTCTATTTGACCTTTTCAAAACTGTTTCTTTGACTGCTAGATGCCAAGCTGGCATATGGCATCATCACCTGCCTTTGGGAGCACATGTTCAACAGGAAAGCACCTCCATTGACTGCTGAGAGACGATGCTTTGGAGTGTAAATGTATGTTAAAGAGTGGAATAAGAATTGAACTTAATATAGCTTTATATATTGTGAATCCATATGCCTTTCAGAACCCCATTTTCTCTTAAAGACTAAAATATGTATTTGTCAATGTAGATATACTGTACTTAACTCATCACACTTTAATGTAAGCAAATCAATAAACATAAGATGTATTTAAAATATTATGAGGCATATATTTTATATTCATTTCAGTTTTTCTTAGCCATTTATGCTAAACCATTGCATTCTAAATATTGACATATTACAAAAAGCAACACTGTGTATATTTGCAAGGCAGAGGAAACAAATATCTTCTAGATACACTTATGAAATTATGTAATTCCCTTGGTGCCAGTAGGTTTTCAGAAACAAGCAATCTGTATCAATCTGGCAGTTCAACATCTGACGGGATTCTCAGGTAAACAAATTCATTATAAAAGGTTCTGTGTATAGCAAACGTTAAGTTTACTGCTTACGTTGTACAAAACACTCAAAAGGATTATTGCATGGACATGCAATATGGTAGTATCACAAACTGCTTCAATCAATACTGCTGTATTTAAGATCAACAGCATCCATTTTAAAATACATATTATGTCTTATTAATGCACAGTGACTATTTTATGAAGTTAAAAGCTCTAGGATATTATCCTAGAAGAAAAAGACCCAGTTAAATTTAATGATCAATGTGGCAATGTTTTCTCTTTTAATTCCATATTGCATCATTCTGAGATCAACAGATCTGTACTCTTTTCCAAGATCAGAGGATGGCTTAGCTTTTATGAATACAAATAAACATGGCCTTCAGTTTACTTACAAATCAAAACAGTCTACCAGATTTATTTGGAATGAAGAGTCTTACCTTGCTTTTCAGCTTCTGTATTTCTGCTTCAGTGACAGCATGTTTTATTTGTAACTGCATACATAATAAAAAACAGAATCAGTTCACTGTGGGTCAAGTAGGCTCCTAAGCTCAATCACTGACGAAGAGTCCTCATTCACAGGTAAGCATGGATGGATCTGCTGTTGTCTGAAGCCCCCGTCATGCAGAATAACTCATTGTGCATACTGTGTTTTAAACCTACAGTACAGTATATGGACTGTGTAGGTTTCTGAATTTATTGAATACATACAATATATCATTACTGTTGTTAAATATTTTGTTTCTTTTACATTCTACTACTTTTAATATTTAAAAGTACAGTGTATGGTTCTGCATGTATAATAGTTCAAACTATAACACACACCAATTCACACTAATAGTTCTTCAGAAGTGACCACGGAGTCACCAAACAGCTCACATTATACTTTTCTGTTCCTACATCATTTAAAACCATAAACCTTAATTTTAGTGGCAAGCCAAAGCACCGTGCCAGCAAGATCAACATTTTAAAAAAAAACCAAGAACTTCAACAAGATTTTTTTAAAGTCTTCATTTACCTCACGAAATTTGTGGGAAAGTTTAGTGGCATCCATTTCAGTGGGAGAAAACATGTCCGCTGTTTCCGGTAAATCAAAAACTTCAATGGCCATGTCTCCTCCTGTTATGTCAGGGACCATATCCTCATCTTCATCATCAGTAGCATACTGCCCTGTCTGGACACAACATTGGGTGTCTGAATTAAACGCTTCAGTTCCTCCATATGTTCTTTTGACTTTTTAATGGAATGCAGAATATAACGAGTCTAAACATATTCTGCTAGTACTATCTAGATTGACTATAATACTAAACTGCTGCATATTTTATGTACCAATTAACTGGAATGCACGAAGCAATTAATTATTTAGGGTTAAATCCAACACACTTTTCACACCCACAGAAAACTTCCACACAAGCAAGCTTGGTCTGCAGTGTATGCACCAGAACTCTTTGGAGAGAGACCAGTCTACTGTACATCAGTAAAAGCTCTAAATGCAATAAAATTAGTAGCCCTCTACTATTACAAAAAGCAGCTGATTCTGCAATGCAGTGAGGCATTCAATCATTTCATGCTTTCTTGTTAACTGCTTAACAAGCACAAAGGCCTGCACTCCACAGTATAAATTATTTCCCTGTAAATAAAAGCACAGTACTGCAACATGTTCAACACAATCTCCAAATGATACAGCTCAGTACAGTAGTATCCTGTCACCCGAAGGGAAAAATAACAAAAAACTACACTCATTCTATCAATGTGAAGAAAAAAAAACAGCTTTTGATGGAAATTTTAATCGACCAATTCATTCTGTAAATGTGGAGTGCACTGGTGGAAGCAACTGTTTATCTAACAGACAAATGTATATGTACTATATGTGTATGACCGCCAACTTGTTATTTGTGACCATCTACAAGACATTTAAATATCATATACAGTACAGTCCATTTTTCGTCTTTTATCACTCCTGCATTTTTCATGATTTTAAGCAAAATTCTAGGTCATTTACAAAAAGCCAGTGCATGTGTCTCATGAGATCTGGTTCAGGCAGGAAGACAGCACAGAATAAAGACATCAAAGACACACACCTTGATATCCAGGGCCAATTTACAAGCAATGTATCGTGGTAAAATATAACTCTGCAGGCAAATCCATGTTAAAAAAATAAAATAATGACCCACTATGACTGCTGCAGTGTATACTTCACTAGACAAACCAATGAATATCTTTCTTTACCCTCATTCCCTTTTCCACTGCACTTATGCGGCACAACCACAGTTAGAAATCCTACAGAACTGTACCAATCCTACCAAATATTGACACTATATCATTACAGTTGTTAACTGAAGCTTGAAAGGTAAATTAATCCATAAGCAGGCTGTGCTTAGGTTTCTAAGGTCCACTACATCTACTGCATGCAAGAGGCACTGCTACTTCATTTTCATCATCTCACAGCTCACTAAGCACATAACACCCAATCCTGATGGACTAAGGACTGCCATGTGGCTACATTTCTACTCCCCACCAGCAGCACACACCGCAAAAAGTCCTCTGCTTTCAGCAGTAGAGGTATTCAAAGGTGAATTGTTATAAAAGAGATTCATTCCATGAACTCCTGAACTAATGTGTAATCAGAGACACAGCAATCTGGATCAGATGAGAGAGAAAAAAGTACTCATACTCAGAAAACAGGGGTGATAAGGCAGCAGCCTGGAAGATGTCCAGTAAAGTGAAATATTCCTGCAGGATAAAAGGTTTTTTTATAAGATATGTAAGGGAAAAAAGAGAAGTCATGCTTTCTTGTGAGGGATTATGTAGAACTTCAATCTTGTGTTAATTGCTTGGCTATAGTATCTTGCTGCTATTATTCCCCTTGTGCTCAGTGTGGTTCGGTTACACTCCACGCTCTCCACAAGGTCCTGCAGGTGCGATATATCTGCCTGCCCGAGCCTGATGAAGGTGAGGCATGAGGGGTGCATTGTCCTCTTGACAAGCTTATCAGGCTTCATATTACCATGTCCCGCAGGAGAGTTCTCCCAGGAGAGGACATGTTACAGACAGGCCCGGACCGCCCGCATAGGGCACTGCGAGACACGCGCCTTTCTAATGCGATCTAAAAGCAAAACCTGAGTAAATATTTCACAAAAACCCCAAAGAAGAACACATCATTGTGAGTGACAAAAATGACAAATTCTCAGATGTGAAAAAAAGATGCTTCATTTTTTTTTCTCCGACACTACAAGAAGATCATTTAGAGCACTTCATATTCCCAACTTTTTATTCACTTTTTCCAAATGGCTGGTGCGGTAAAATAAAACTGTCTCTGATGTTTCATAAAACTCTGTGGACTGAATGTTTACACTGGAAAATTATTCTATGTGCTAATACCTCTGGCATATTGAATAATAAATCTGCTTTCACCTTATGGTGTCTCTGCATTTTACCTTTCACATTACTTCTCATCTTGGAGAAATTAATTTCTTCTGCAAATCTCAGGTACTACCATGTTCATGTTTAATAATGGCCACTGCATCTGAATCACTGTATTAGCTCACACTCTGTGAAATAAATTGCAGCCACATGCACAACTATGGATCACTTTATTAAACATTTTAAATTACACACAGTAAATGCTTGAAAATATCAATTACTTATGAGAAATGGTATGCAGTTTACCATTTCTTACATTTTACTTGCCTTTGGAATTGCTTTTAAGCTGTGCCTTTAATTCCAAATTATGTTAAATGAAGCTACAGTACAATACCAGGTTCACAACTACCATTAAGCAAGATGCACACAAGCACCATTATTTGGCTCTAATTACAAACCTTTATTAAGGTACAACCACTGTTATTGTTGTTCCTGTTCAAGTTGCGTTTGGACCCACGGAAACCAAGAGACCTTCTCTAAAATGTTTAACAGCGACAACAAAAAAGGAAAGCCATCATTTTGGGTAACAAGAATATTTTGATATCATTAACATAATAACCGGGTCAAAATAAGGCCATATAGTTTTATACGAATTGAGTCAAACTGCAAAATGAACTAAACATTTTATTGAAGGCTGTTTTTCCATTCATTTGCAAACTGTCTAATTCTAGCATTGTGTGTAAAATAGATTTTACTGTGCTTATTGGGGGTGATTAACTGACAGGAACTGGTGTTATTTGTTATCACAACATCAGGTAAACTCAGTTTGCAGTTCTACTGACATGTACGCAAGTACAATTAACAATACTGTTTTCATGGCAGAACTCTTTGAAGCCAGATTCTCAATGTGTGATTAGAACCTGACAATCGCATCTCTGACACATAAGATTTTCACATTGGGTACTGCACTACCATCAGTACCAAAGGGAAACATTCTTGTTGAGTAAACCTTCAAATTCTGGCTATGAAGTACATGGGACTTTCTTTTCAAGAAAACACAATCCTTATTGATAGCCTGCAAATCACCATATAAACAGATGCTACTGTATACATGAAACAAACAGGCCACTTATCACACAGAGATTCATTTGTTTGGGTTCTTCTTTGGAACAAGAGGACGAGGAAATGGTCCACAAAACAGAGATGGTGAAGCTGGTACCAGTTTCTATGATTTCTTGTCAAAGACCTTTTAAAAAAGCCTAATCTGTGCAGTGGACCATGACCAGTTGCATTATAAGAGAACTCTTTTCCTGCTCCTAAATATTTTTTCATGTTCCTGCGAGCTTAAGAGGCGCTCATCATACTTTCACGAGTCGGCTAACAGCCTGGCAGCAGGCGCCGAACATCAAGCTCTCCCGGGGGCTCTGGATGAGTCACTTCACAGCTGCAGGAGGAAGCTGCCCCCGAACGATAACGGCCTCATCCTTCTGACTAAACAACGGAGCCGACCACAGTGAATGCAAAATAATCTACAAATTCAGAAGGAAATCTTCCATTCTTGTGTTAAAAGGCCAAAAAGCAAAAACGCTCCTTCCCGCGCCCCTGGTCAGTCCCAGCAGACTGTGGCGCACATGGGCAAGAGCCTCACCTCGTCGTCATCCGCGTCGTACTGCACGTAGTGCTGCTCCAGCATCTCCCTCTGCCTCCGCTCCTGTTCCAGCGTCTGGCTTATGAGCTGAGCGACCTCGCTGACCTGGCCGGGCTGCTCGCGCCCGATGAGGAACCTGGGAGCAGCAAGGCACGGAGTTGAGCACCCTTCTGAGCAATAATGCAGATGATACAGCATTGATATAGAAATGTATGTACTGTATAAATGTATTGCGGGTGACAAGGTGGCACAGAATTTAGAGTTTTGGCCTCACAGCACTAGGGCCCTGGTGTGAGCGTGTGTGTCTGTGTTTGTATCCGTCTGTCCTGCTATGCCCTGCAGTGGACTGGTGTCCTGTCCTGGTGTGACCATGTGTGTCTGTGTTTGTATCCGTCTGTCCTCCTGTGCCCTGCAGTGGACTGGTGTC